TGTCTTGTCAACATAAAAGACTACAACCTGCAAAAATTTTGCAGGACTAATCTTAAAGGGTTAGTTCACCCAAAAATGAAAATTAAGTCATTAATTACTCACCCCCATGCTGTACCAACCCCGTAAGACCTTCGTTCATCTTCGGAAACTTATAAACTTATAGTTGAGCCACGGTAGTCACATGGGATATTTAAACATTTTCTTCATTGACTTTCTAGGCCGTCAAGAGCCAGTCCCTTAGGCAGTCTATGTGGTAGTTATACAGCTCTCAAATTTAATCAAAAATATCTTAATTTGTGTTCCGAAGATGAACGAAGGTCTTACGGGGTTGGTACAGCATGGGGGTGAGTAATTAATGACTTAATTTTTGGGTGAACTAACCCTTTAACTACTGTAGTTACTAGTAACTCTAAGTCTATTTTTGCACATTCCTAACATGGTTATTGTTCAAAAATAGAAATAAAATCAAATAATTTCTTCAAAAAGCACCAGGCACTGTGTTCTTCCTTGCACCGTTCTAATACCTAATGCAATGGGGTTTGAGTGCCTGGTGAATCTGATCAGATTTGTTCAGTTCTGTATGGTGGCCCTTTCTGCAGCTACAGAGTACAGTAAGTTATACAGTCACACACTCAATCATAGGCAGCCGCTGCTGTGCCATTATGGCAGAGAGGACAGACTTAAACTCCTTTGCTTGAGCCGATCACACCACACACACACACAAACACACACACACACACACACTGCTGCCAAGCTCTCCAGATGATGAGCCTCGCTCCTGTGGATTACGTAAGAAGTGGCATAGGCATCCTTGGGCAATGTCCGTGTGTGTGTGCGTGTATGTTAGGCTCAGCTCTACATCCCAGACACACAAAGTAAAAGAAGTCACAAGCCCCAACGCACATAAATAACCATCACAGCCATGTCGCAGCTAGTATTTCATATTTCAAGTAGAATCGTACTATGGGACACATCTTTAATAAATCTCACCAGTTCCACCATTCGCAGCAAGTGTACCATCACCAGTATTGGTCATTAGAGACAAGATAAGGTTAATTTGAAGCTGATGTGAAGACGGCGTGTGTGTGTTTGTGTGTGCTACTACTCAATATCCATTTTCCAATGGTCAATTGATATTTCCAGCAGTGTCCATAAGCTGAAAAACGCTGTTTCCATTCAGCAAGTCTCTTATGTTCACCAATAATACATTTATATCTAAAACTTTATTACAATTTTAAATAACTTTTCTACTTTAATATATTTTAAAATGTAACTTATTCCTATGGTGGCACATTTTCTATAAAAAAATGCACATTTATTACTCATAATTGTGACTTTAATGTTTCTTATTTGACCTTTTATACTCTGAGATACAAATGGGCTTTTATAATATGTAGATACAGATCCTACAAAACAAAATGCCAGCATTAAATGGTCAACTTATGACTTGTGAGTGCTTGGTTATCTTACTTGAATTTGTTCTACATCATTATGATGTGATATTATAATGAGATCAAGTTTCAGATACAACCTTCATATATTTGTATGATATTTTATTCAAATGTGTTCATTCTAATCCCTAAACATGATCTCTTCAACAATCTGCAACCTACAGTAGCCTATAATAGGGAAGAGGCTTGAACATTGTGACATACGTCTTCTTTAGAAATACATACCCTTCATTAAATTTGAAGAGATGATCATTGTGAATCAAATGATCAGACTCATAGTGGGTTATATTCTAAATTACAGTGATTATGACTGTCAGCAATCAGTGTTGGAGACATATTTTTGCATAACAACCAACAATCTCAATGTCTACTGCAGCCAAGGAAGTGCAAATAAAATATCCAGGAGACTATTTAAAATGTATCTTTTCTACCATAAGGTCATCACACCTCTTTGTGCATGTCTGTGCAAGTGTGTGTGTGTGGGAAAAATTGATCAATAGATCTGCGTGCAAGTTGCAAAATCTTAGGGCCCATGAGGTTAGTTGAGTTATGAGCCTGCCATTCTCTCTCCACTGTGCTTGAAAATACAATTCGCAAAGGACAGGGACCACCTAAAACTCTCTGCTACACAATAACCACCGCTTCACCACCCGCAATTTAATTATTCAAATGTCAGACCACTAATAACAATATACGTTTTTTCATAGCCTATGAAAGGTTGTTTAAAGCAGAAGTGTGTAACAAAATCTGTGGCAGTATCAAAACATTGGCTTGACCAATGGTGTGAGTTTAGGGGTGAGACTATATGTTTAGACGACCAATGGCAGACAGTGGGAGTGTTTTGTCTGGTGCCGCAGAAATTACACACTCCACTTTTACTGCAAGAGCATGAGAAGTACATTCTCTCTCTGTCTCTGGTGTTTTTTAACATCTGACTGTCATGTCACTTTCTGCAGTCTGAAGCGAGCTGTGGGAAGCAGAACGCTTTTGGGATCGCAGCGCATTTGCCCGCTGGCCTGAGACTGAAGACTCTCCTCTCCCTCCCACTGCTCTAATCTTCTAGATGATTTTGCCAGGATTCTGCCATTCTGGTCTCTTGATCTGCCACTTTAAGTCATTCTCAACTGGGGAGAAGTTTACACAACTGCAAAACAGATCTGAACAGTGCTACGCAGCAGCAATGAGCAACAAATACCAATGTGATATCATTGGTATTCATTCATATCTTAATTGTGCTTCTAGCACATTTACATTTTCACACATTTGAACAGAGATTAAAATGTAAGAAAAATCGAAAACTTTTTTTCAAATTAAAGATTTTATTCAAATTAAAAAAGCTTCTTTTGCTCACATCTGGATTTATTTAATCAAACTATTCAATTGTAATTGTAATTGTAATTATAAACGATTAAAATATCTGTTTTTCTATTTAAATATATTTTAAAAATGTTATTTGGCAAAGCTGAATTTTCAGCAACCAACAATCCAGTCTTTAGTGTCACATGATCCTTCAGAATTCATTTTAATATGCTGATTCTTCATATTATCAATGCTAAAAACAGTTTTGCTGCTTAATATTTTGGTGGAAACTGTATTTTTTTTTTATAAATATAGAAATTTCAAAATAACATTTATTTGAAACTTTCTCCTGACACTTTTTATCAATTTATCATCCTTGCTATTGGTTCAACAGATATATATATATATATAAAAAAAGAGGAATCAATTAGGCGTTGGTGCACTACCTGAAATGCATCTCTCTGTAAATCAACACCCATTGTAAATTGGCAAGACAAAACACGTGCAAATCATAAACTTTCACTATGATGGTTAAATCTTGCAATTAATCTGCAAATCACATGCATGGCCTGGTCCGTACGGATAGCTGATCACCTACGATCCGTTTAACCCCTTGTCCTTGCTGAATAAATGTATTAATTTAAATTTAAAAAAAAAATGAAAACATTTTAACAGCAGTGTACCCAGACAGCAAACTGACATTGAATCAACGTGGAAACGACGTCTCTCATGACATTGAAACAACGTTGATTTTGCTCATCGAATTAACGTTGAACCGTCAGACGCGGCAATCTTCAAAGCTAAATGAAAATCGAAAATTGGTTTGCTTTCATAATGTTGAAACAACGCGTTGATTTCAAGTTGATTTTCCGTTAGTTTTGAAAGAATGACGCGTCTGACGTTGGTTCAACGTTAATTCGATGAGCAAAACAATGTCAGATCAACGTTGTTTCTATGTCATATTTCCACGTTGATTCAATGTCAGTTTGCTATCTGGGTACCTACATGGCCTACATGGTACCTACTGTTGGTGCAGTTTCAGTGTCTATCCAAACACATGAAAATGTACTTTACAAAGAAATATTTACAAATATTAGCCTAATGAGATCCCATTGCAACAACATTTCCAAAATTCCAAAATCAATCACAGTTTTGCTAGTCAGGCCAAGATTTGTCAACTAACTCAAGATGCTCTGTAGTTTAGTATGGAAAAACAGCTCACAAAATCCAAGGTAAGACTTCATTCATACCAATGAATTCAGCTGAATCCTGAGATTCCTTTTGCATTGCCAATAGCTAGGAGTGAGATGTGACAAAAGAAACGGTTGCACTAATCACAATTTGGAGTCTCTTGGGAGATTTTCATTTGCCCTAATCTCACAGGAGCCAACATTTATCTGATCACAGTCGCTCAAAGGGGCTAAGTAACAACCGATATCCTCAGAGAGCAAAGACGATCAGTTTCTAAAGAGGCTGTTCTCTGAAGAGCCGCCGCATCAACTTCCACCAGTATCATTCAACATCTGACAAAGCAAGGTGTCAAGTGAGCTCTTCTACCGACCTGACTGACAGCAAATTATCCTGTAGTGACAGCAGAAGAAATATTTTCAATTACAGCATTACTGACTGAAAAGTAATGTCAAGCCTCTGTCTGTACGAATGAATAAGGGAATGTGGAAATTCATTTTAAAATCAAAGGCCATCTATTTGAATACAGTGTGAATGGAGATTTTGATTAGACAGGAAGTTCTTTACAGTCTCTGAGGTGGGAATAGACCTTAGTGACTTGTTCAGTATAATTAATAACTGACTTTATGTACTCGGATTTCCATCATGAGGGTGATGAGAGAGTCACTGAACTAATGTTATGTGCCTTACTGATCCTAAATCCCAATCCAGTAACAATAAACGCCCTTTTACAAAAGACTTATGACGGGTCTGATTGGCAAGCCATGACAGTGGATAAACTCGGTTAGGCACAACAACTGGCATCACTTTAAAGCATGAAGCTTGTTATGTTGTGGTGCAGCATAATGTAGTCACATTTCAGAAAGGCAAAACTAACAGAGGGTCATTTATGTCCCAATGAATTTGTCATGAGCTTAGTAATGACAATCCATAAACACACAAGAAGTAACAGCTTACACCTGATAACACAAGTGATAGAGAAATGAAAAACTTACTGACAGGTTCACTGCGCACCTGAAAAAGAGCATACACGCTATTTAATTTCCATTGTAAAAAGGATACAATCGCAAAGCTCCGCTCTGAGTCCCGATGGCAAGGATTTTCTGGACAGGGTCGAATGCCATAGAGGACGGCTGATAGGGGAAGCCATGGCGCACAGTCTGAGGATCAAATCAGAAGAGAAAAAAGTTTTAAAAAGCACAAAATGTAAAGTTCAGTGGCATAACCACTAATTAACTTCAGCATTTAAGTCTGCAATTCAACTATTTAAAAATGGTATATTGTATTTTATGAGGTTTTTGAATTATATTTTGCAATGTATTTAATTATTTCTCTCTCTATTTTTGGTTATGATGTGATATAAGTATGATATTAACTTCTATGATGTATGTTATGATATAAGTACTAAAATTACTACAACTAAAATAAAAATAAATTAAAGCTAAATATAAAGAGCACATCAATATTTACTAAAAACTAAAAAAAAAACAAATTGAAACAGAAATGATAAAAAAAAAATAATATAATAGTACAAAATACTAAAATAACACTTTTACATGACATTATTTTTTACGCTCTTTCAGTATTTATAATATGATTTGAAGGAGAGTGACAAAGCATTGCGTATTTTTGTGTAGCACCAAGGAGTCAAATTTCCCTTCAGGGACAATTCGATATCAATCTAAATGTCAGTTTCAGTATTTTAATGCCCAGGCCTTTGAATTGCTCGAACAACTCTGATGTGCTATAGATAGACAAAAACAACAGGCAGTGAGAACAGAGGCCTTGCTGCATTGTATCCACAGAACAACAATGGTTGGCTACAGGTTTATAGCACTGGCCTCTGCTTAACAGCTGTCAGCATCTCTCTCTCTCTCTCTGTGTGTGTGTGTTTTAAATCCTAGGGGGTGCCTACATAGATAGCATTGCTGAGAATCAAAGGCACACCTATAATGCCGTCTAGTCAGGCAGCTAAATAGGTTTTGAGACACAGCCTCTCTCCGTCTCTGATTGTTTGTTTAGTGGCTAAAGCAGGTTACGTAAGTGGCACACGTGGGTACGAGTACCTGTCGGCGAGCTGTGCAGCAGCAACAAGCTTCAGTCCATCCTTCTCATCTATCTCAGTTCTCTTTTCAATAATTATAAATGAAATATTAAACTAATCCAGCGTTCACAAATGTCTTTAGGCCTGACAAAAAGACCAGTGTGAATGCACTCACGTTACCTCATCGCAAATTATTGATTAAAGAGTGGTAAACAACTGCATCCATATAGTTCATGACCATTTTTAGCACTTAGCTGAACGCTAAAAATAATGTAGCCCTTGATAAAAGAATCATTAAAGATAATACCCTGTTTCTTGAAAACATTACATGTGGAATTGATTTGAAAACGTACTCCATTAAATAATCATTAGACAGCGTTGATTCAAAAGTTGTGCTTTTTCTCTCTCTTTTCCGCCTTCAAAGACTGACAACAGTGCTAGCTAATGAGATTCGGGTGCGGATTGTGAAGAAGCGTTTCATTGGTTGGACCAGTGAACGAACACACTCCCTTCATTGAATGAGTCGCTGTTCGGTCTGAACGAGACCTCTCCTTTATAAACTAACTAAATTAACGTGATTGTCTCCTGGAAATGTATTTTAATTAATCATGTAGTATTTTTTTCATTAGCTTAACTGCCTAGCAGTAGACAAAATGGAGGATAAATTGACAGTTATGCTCTCAACTGTTATTTTTTAGCATCACAGCACATCTGTAGACACAGATTTGAATATAGGATAAGTTTGTAAATGACTGTTTAAACGAATCGGTTGAGTGATTGATTCAATGACTCACTACAAAGTGCACTTGTCGCCACCTACTGTCATAACAAGGTTACCTGCCTGTAACAAGGTTGACTAAATGAATCGGAAATAAATCAATGTGCCAATCTCATCTGCCAATACTCATTCTGTCATTCTCTTACAGTTTTCACACATACGTGTGTGGGCTCATAATCTAATATTACAGAAGAAGAGAGAAACCTCTACAGATTACCCGTTTCTCTAAGAACTATTAACTCCATCCATTTTGCTCCCAGATCTAATCCAGCGTGGGCAACTAAACTCAGCAACACTTCAACTAGGCCTATTCATGACACATTGGACACACTAGCTGTGTCTCAAAACCAACCTAGGCAACATTTAGGGCACCTATGATGGGCAAAAAAACAATAGATACACAACGTGTGTGTGGTTTCAAAAAGATATTCAAGATAAAAAAAAGGTTAAGGGTTTTTAAAAAAAAAAACAAACAAAAAACAACAACATTGCAAATGAAATGTTAATCCCAGCACAGTAGATTATGCAAGAAGTGGGTTGTTTATCCCCCCCTCCCTCCACTCAAACATCACAGCTTCATTCTATAACCACACATGATTCGGACGCTTCAATAAAGTAGAATGTCTAACACAGAGCACTATAAAGGGAAAAGCGGAAGATATGAACAGCAAAAGCATCCGTGTGGTTATAAAATAATCTCTGTGTCACGCATGAATATTTTACGCATTTGTGCGCATTTTCCAAACACAGAGTCAGCTCTTTCCACGCACAGCTTGTGGGGAAAAAAAATAAAAATGTAGTCTTGCTTTGAGGATGTATAGCCTAACACAGGCAATAGGATCATTTAATGTAACAAAAAAAAGACATTCCATTACTGCGCAACCAAAATATATTGGACAATGGTTTGTAGAAAATAAAATAAATATACGACTGACATCATAACGGTCCCATAAAGATATATAGCCTATGTATATTTATATATAAAATTTCCATTACAACGTTATGATGTATCGCATCTTCGAACCAGAAAAGGCAAACGTTACCTGTATTCTATAAGTCTGTGGATAAAGTGTTAAACAGTGGTGCGTTAGGAAAAAGCACTTGCGTTATTAAAGAAAAAGCCACATTAGGTGACGTTACACATTCACTTGAAAGCTTCCCCACCTTGCAGAGCTGGAAGTGTTCAGACTGAAGCGTCTCCGGGATGAGCTCGTTCTCCTTGGACCCGAGCTGCGGGGATGGAGAAGGGGACGACACGGCCGTCAAGCCGTCCAGCACCTTACGGATATTAAACTTCTTCATTTTTCGCTCCGGTGCGAGTGACGGAGGAGGACGGGAGCACATGAGTCGAGATCAGCCGTGGATGATGAGGGGGGAAAGCCGCTCTCGCTCGTTTCTGCAGCACCTCTCTTTAAAGCTCACATTTTAAAGTGTTTTTCACCGTATCCTCCATGGCTAAAGGCTTGAGCTGTGAGCGTTGATTTATATATTTTTTTATTATTAGCGTTTGTGGGGCGTCCGTATATTCTGACTCGGCGTCCCGCTGCGTCTCGAATTCCCTCTCTCTCTCTCTCTCTCTCTCTCTCTCTCTCTCTCTCTCTCTCTCTCTCTCTCTCTCTCTCTCTCTCTCTCCCTTCTCATCTCCTCCACTCAACACGGAAACACCGCTGCAGCGCCGCGCATGCGCACTGCAGACTGGATGACTACTGAAGCAGCCTTCCAAACCCCTTTTCCCGGTGACCAGGCAAGACTGTGTAGCGCTGAGTGAGCCTAGCGTCACATTGCAGAAATTAGGGGCGGGACTCTGCACCTCAGCACCTGGAGCCGCAGGGATGCAGGATGGAAAGCACAACAGCCTCTCCAAGTCATCACATAATGTCATAATATAGCCTATAGGCTAAATCAATTCATCAGATTGCCTGCACTTTTATAAAAGGGATTTGACAGGGGAAGCCTTTCCAGGATATTGCTATTTCTGAAGGATAATTTCTAGGCACGTACCTTAAAGGGCAACTTAATGCAAAATTCACTTTTACATGGCATTTGAACATGTGTTTGCAGTCTGTGTACAGAACCACCCTATAATGATAAAAATCCGCCCAGTGGATTTATCCCCATTAATCATAAGCACTGTCTCAGAGCAAGCCTTCTCACGCCACGTTCCAGGCAACCCGTAACCCGTGTTTTTTCAACCTTATACCCGTGAAAGTGCACTGTAACAGCAGTCAAACCCGTGACTTTCCACCCACGAACTCGTACTAGATCGATGTACTCCCAGTTACGAGCTCTGACGTCACATAGCCCGCGAAACCATAAAAAACAACAATGGCAGCCCCTAAGAATGCAGTGTTTCTTCAGGCGGTACACGGTGAGAATACACTTTAGATAAACAAGGAGTAAGCATTGGCGACAGAAAATGCACAAAAGCCCCATAAGGTCCGCCATGCTCGTTTGTTTACATCTAGCTACCACAATTCCTTGCTCTTGGGTAGTTTGGCGTGACTGGCCTGGAATGCTACAAAGTCGTGAGTTGTGGTTTGAAGTCGTGATTTACGTGCTCAAAAACCTGCCTGGAACGCAGCATCAGATAATGGGCAATGTAGCACAAGCCCCCCCACATCTGTAGACGGACACTGCCACATTAGCATAGGCCCGCCCTGAGTGAGCTAAACACAGTCGATAGTTTCGACGCAGGAGAAGCTGTACACAAGATGGCTTCCAAAGCGATTGAGGTGTTTTGTTGGTGGATGATCTAGAGTTTTTTCTTCAAAATGATTTAAAAATCATCCTGCCTAATCATGCACATGAAACTGTGAATTGTTTTAAATTGTGAAAAACATTTTTTGTTTGGAAAGGCAATATGCAAATGGTCGGCTCAACCCCCTCATGTACTGTATAATTAGGTGGTTCTCACGTGAGAAGACAAAGACCCACATAATAATGAGCCTTTCATTCAGGTGTGTCACACAAGAAAGAATGCAAGGACAATATACTGTATCTACTGTATATCTATCTATCGATGCATCGCATCGTTAGCATTTATGCCGATGCACCGATGCGAATCGGTGAATCTTACCATCCCTAGTTTAGATTAGCAGTGTTTTCCACTGTCGGGCAGTGTGTTCACTGTACCTTGGTCTAAAGCAGGCCAACTGGGCTTGAGGAGTTTACATGAACAAAGGTAGAGTGAGTGAGTCAATGCTGCTCATTTCCCATGTTATTATATGAGGCTCCCAGCTATCTTCAACATTTAAGACATTTAAAAAAAAGAAATCCGCTCAAAGCTCACTTTCAGACACCAGAAAGTATTTGAAATAACTTCCGTTTGTGATCCGATGAGGATTCTGATCATCGCATGAGAAAAAAATATATATATTTATAGGCTACTTACACTAACCATTGTGATAATAAAAACATATTATGTTCTTGGAAAATACCATAGACGGCATAAAGGACGTAGACAAATCATATATAATTAAAATTGTGTATTTATTTGTTTTCATGTTTTATCTGTCTCTTCCCTGTGCCTTTGTTGCATACAACATGCACTCTGATTTACTTTCTATAATTCATACCTCCTGTTTTCTTCTCGTGAGCTCCCTCTTTTGCTCTGGATGAAAGGATAACGGTATAGTGAGACGGGAGATATTGCTCAAACACCCTCAGATCGTGCTCTATTCAAGATAACAAAAAATTAAATTATTTTGGCCAACAAAAATTGCAATTGTAAATAAATGTATTTTAGAATAAATAAATAAAAACACTCATGCCTAAATATCTCTTAAGTTGTAATCTTAACTGTAATTATTTAAGTTACAGTTATAAATATGTTATGTGAATGCTAGTTAGCAGGATATAATTGACAGATATTTCTCATTTAAGATAATTTAAAATCAACAGAAAATAATTTGTGCAAATGGACCTTTAACTAGACGTTTAATCTGAAAACAGACCTTTAAAATATTTTGCCATCTATCTCGCTCTGTATTTGCTTTCTGCATGTCTGATGAGAGATAGTGAGGGTCAGAAAGTAGAGGTCACTATGGCTCAACCGTCAGTCTTGCCACTGCTCTTTAAGAGTTTGTCGCTGGTAATTGACTTGGACATCTGCCCTTGTTTAATGAAGGCCAAGTTTACAGCAATGCAATGCCTGTGACTCCAAATAACATTTCCAGTGTATATAATAAAGAACATTTTGGGAGATATACAGTATGTTTTACAAATACATATCAAGAATGGGTCTGTTAAGTTTAAAGGGGTCAAATGATACGTTTTGTTGTTTTCCTTTTTCTTTAGTGTGTTATAAGTTTTATAAGTGTTCTCGTTGTTCTGTCTAATCCTGGCCTGTCCCTGCTCTCTTGGATAGCAAGATCATGATTACCTTATATGGCTGAGGTCCGTCATACGAGTAAACATTTACAATTTCGTCAGCCTCCGAACTGTCAATGCATGCTTTGACCGCACCCCCTCCCATTATGTCACATCCGTTTTGGCGGTTTTCAGATGTGGAAGTAACATTTTCTCACAAACACAACTCTAGAAGCCTTAATGGCGTTTTATAAGTACGTGTTTGTATTTAAATTTAGTTCCTACATTATTTTTCTATACATTGGGTCACTGGGTACCCTATCTTGCAATATACCCTTTAAGATTTAAATAAAGAATGGTAATGATGCTAGTAACTCAAGGTAATGAGTTCACATGGGATTTAAGCATACTTAAAATTAAAGTTACAATCACAGTATATGTAAATATAGTCGCTTGTGAAAACCACGCTGATGAATAAACACTACACCTTCCCTGTGGTTTGGAACAGATCCCTTTGATTTATCCCTTTCATACTGTAACGATGGAGATAAGTGTCGCATGCATTTCCTTATCTGGCCCTGGGTGAGGATGAAGAGACCCTTATAAGGTAAGGGCCATTTTCATGTACGAATGAAGCACTGACCAATCACCTGCTGGCTACACATCCGCACGGGCAATCCATAAACCACAGGCAGGAACATCAATGACTTCATGTTTTTCATTTACTCTGCTCCCTATTCATAAAATAAAGAGAAAGGCAGTTTAGAATTTAGTTTTAAGTGGGTATATGATTGAGTTTGTAGGCCACTGATAGGGCACTCCCATTAATTAATTGTTGGATAGTTCTTTGAGAACGGGCCAAGATTTACAGAAGCATTACTAAAGCCGGGTGCACTGTACAATTTGTAATAGTCCATTACAACTGTTGCTTGTCAGACTGTCCAAACATGATCCCCACTGTAAGCCAGGTCACATTTGTCATTGATGTCAGACTGTACGGCAGTCAAGACATGTTAAAAATGAATGCCTAAAAACTGAGTTATATGAAATGTATTACCAAAACATAATGTCATGCTAAATGACACTACAGACACTATAGTTGTATTAAAAAATAACATTTACGCACAAACACAACACAAGGCATTAGCAAAATGCATAATGAGAGCTACATTTACGCTTCGAATAAGCACAGCTTCCTAACATGAATCCAGAATGTGATCACGTTTTTATTATATCAGATTTGCAAATGCTTTTCACAAAAAGAGCCACCTTGGTTCTATTCATCCATATAAATGCCAATTCAGTCTGCAGTCTGTGTACTACATCTGTTTCATGAACAGATGTTGATTCTGTATTACTGTCTTAAATAATACATTGACAGCATCTTAATGAGATGTAGCCAGAGTAGCGACATTTCATTTTTGAGAAATAGTAATATTTTCAGCTTCTATTGCACAAAAATGCATCCTGATGTACAAAACAACATTTAAAGGGACGGTTCAGCCAAAAATGAAAAATTTGTCATCATTTACACCCACATATCATTCCAAACCTGTCTGACTTTCTTCTCTGAAAGATAGTATTCTAAAAAAGATAATTGGTGCCCAAACAACATTGGACCCCCGCTGACTTTAATTGTATGTTTTCTTTTATTTTCCACAGAAGAAAGAAACTCATGCCGGTTTGGAGCAACATGAGTAAATGATGAGAGAACATTGATTTTTAGGTGAACTATCCTTGTAAGATTATATTTCTGTCGCACAGTGACCCATAGTCTGGTGAAGTGAAGCCGCCAGTTGGAACTTGAGTCTGCGCAGAAGCGATTTCGGGACCAGACATGCGCAGTCGTGAGCAGGAAATAAAGGCGCAAAATCAAGGCCCCGCCCTCACTCTCGCAGAACCAATCGCAAGAACATGCTCCTGCACTTTTTTTAAAATTAATTATAGAAATTTAGATATTAAATTTAAAGCTCAAATCTCCACAGTCCTCAGAAGATCCTGAAAAAAGTCTGTTGGTGGTTCAGTGACTACTTGGCTCAGAGAACCTGTCAATCACAGCTGTCAATCATGACGTCACCACCACTGCATCAAATAACTACGAGCAAACTTATTTTAAAAACACTTGAAATTACATCAGCATGATAAAAACTACAGTAAATGACAGAAACCATATTTGGAAAAACAATATTTGAAGTCTTATTTAATTGTTTAGTTGGTCTCGCGAGCCGTTGAATAACATTGGGAGGCGGGGT